AGAATCAAGTGAATTACAAAGACTGACTCCCCCCACCCCTCACAGCACGATGCAAGGATTTGTTGGTGGGTACCAGGGCTGCTCACAGGACGAAGGTTTGAGAAGCCCTGTCTCACACTATCCCATTGTTGGGACTAAATACCAAGGACTGTTTTTTTTTTTTTTTTTTCTACAGAGAACCCTCAAGACATCAAAGATTGGACACACCCCCTTGGTGCCCTTGTGCCCACCCTGGTGGCAACTCTAAGGCAAGCATGAGGACAAATGACAGAAGCAGAGCTCCACGCATCACCTGTGGCAGCTGGAGTTCTTTTTAGAGACCACCACTCAAGGAAAACCTGGGTCTGGGGCTTCCACCCAGGAAGGAGTTTTAGAACGAGCCAATAGGAGGTGGAGCTGGAATTTATTGAAAGCAGAAAAGAAGGTACCCAGGAAAGAATAAAGCCTACCAGAGAACACAGGTGTGGGCTCCTCAAAAAGAAGTTGCATTTCAAGAGTCCTCATGGTGACTGTAACAGGGTTCTGGAAACTTCTGGATTCTCTGCTCAGCAGGTTTCTAAGGGACACTCCCTCTACCTCTGCACTACATTGAGAAGGTGCTTTGGATGGGATTGCAGGCTGACAAGCCACCACCAGGAGCCACCTAGGTTGCACAAAGGGTTTAGGGCCCATCTTTACTGTAAGTGTGTTTTCTGGTGAGAGCCTAGAAAACAGCAGGGTTACAGGTGAGAAGAGTGCAAGACCTTACACACGTCTGTGTTGTGTTGTAATTCTTGATTCTCAGCTGGTGAGAGGCACTGAGTGGAAGGCTCCTTTCCCTTTTCAGGTCCACATCATTTCCCCTGACTTTTATTCTGCCTCAACACACACACACGCACACACCACACACACACACACACACACACACACACACACACACACACACACACACACACGAGTCTCTCACCTCCGTGTCCAGAATCCCACCCCTGTACAAAAGTAAGAGCAGGAAACATGACTCTTGCCCAAGGTTTGATGTACTACATGGGCACCAATCACCAAGATCATGACTTAAACTAGTACCATCAGGGCTTCCCAAAGTGTAATTTGCTAATGTAGCAGATGGCTCCATCACAAGCTGTAATTTGTCCCCAAAGACTCTCAATATAGGTAGCTTCTTAAAGGCAGTAATTAGCCTTGGGAATTAAAGGTTAAAATCAGCACAATGTTGTTTAATTATGCCCTCTAAGCAAGTTATAGTACTTGAAGAATTTCCAGGTAATTGATAATTTAAAAATCAACTCAAGACCCCCTTTTTGGATCACATTTGTGTAGCCACATTACTAAGTCTCTCAGTTATTTTTTGCATGGTTGTGTGTATAGTGTAGGTGTGTATGTATTTTCGAAGGTGTGTGGGTGAATGTGTGTGTGTCCGCAGTGTGAGAGTGCATGGGGAGGCCAGAGATTGACATCAGGTGTCTTCAGTTGCTCTCCACATTATCTTTTGAGGCATGGTTTCTCACTTAAACCCAGGGCTCATCAATTCAGTTAGTCAAGCTTGCTAGCTTGTTCCAGAGATCTGGTCTTAGGTGGTGGCATTACATGAGTCACCATGCGTATCTGGCACTTAAAGGAGTGCTGGGGACCTGAAGTCAGGTTTCTGTGCCTGTGTGACAAGTGAATTACTCACCAGGCCACCTTTTTAATCCCAATTTATCCAAGACAAATGGTTATTTTATTAAACATTAAAATTTCAGGAACCAGGGAGATGTTGTTGTCTTTGCTGAACTTAGTGTGTATTTGCTGTTGCCTGGTGGCCCCTGATTTCTCAACTTTATCACTGGCTTTATGTCTGGGTCCTTGTTGTTGTTGTTTGTAGATAGTACAAGTCTCAATTCTGTCTCTTAATGGATTTACCACACTTACTTATATTTAATGGTAGCTGGTAGTTTTTACTTCTTTTTTTAAAATTTATTTTTGTATCTATACATTGATAGAATAAAATAGTGGGCTTCATGATATGATTTTGATACCTTCATTTCTCTTTTTATTTTTGTTTGTGTTTTGAAATAGGATCTTTATACATAGCTCTGGCTGCCCTAGAACTCACTATATAGACCAGGCTGCCCTTGAACTCACAGAGCTCTGCCTGCCTATGTCTCCTAAGTGCTAGGATTGAAGGCGTGCACTGCCGTTCCCAATGATATTCATTTCTAAAGTATATTTATTGTTGATTTCACTTGGTTTGTACCTCTTATGCCATTCATTACTTTTTATGGCTTGATCGAGTAGCCATTTATTTCTTTTCTCTGCTTATTAATTTTCATAGCTTTGATAGAGTATAATTGCTATAAAGTAAACAATAGCTTAAAGTCTGTAAATTCAGGGCCAGTGAGACTGCTCAGTCAGGAAGAGTGCTTGCCGCACAAGCCTGGGAGCCAGAATTTGACCCCTGGAACCCTTAGTTGTACTGGAAGTTTTCCTGTGTCCCAGCCAGCTGGAGGTCTGGACAAATCTCTCCCACTTGTGTCCCCAAGTAAACACACAGAGGCTTATATTAATTATAAATGCTCGGCCATTAGCTCAGGCTTATTGCTGACTAGCTCTGACACTTAAATTAACCCATAATTCTTACCTATATTTAGCCACCTGGCTTGGTACCTTTTCTCAGTTCTGCCTTGTCATCTTGCTTCCTCTGTGTCTGGCTGGCAACTCCCGACCCAGCCTTCCTCTTCCCTGAATTCTCCTTGTCTGCTCACTCCACCTATACTTCCTGCCTGGCTACTCACCAATTAGCATTTTATTTATGAACCAAATCAGAGCAACACATTCACAGCATACAGAAAGAGGTCCACAGCACACAGTGGAAGGAGAGAAACAGCTTTGGAAATTTGGCTTCTGTCCTCCACACACATGCCTTGGCACACACAGTCGGTATCCACAGAGCCACATCTGCAGGCCAAGATGCTTTGAAGCAATGTCTTACTATGTGTAGCTCAGGCTGCACTTAACCATCCTCCTGCCTCTGCCTCCTGAGTGCTGGGATTGCAGGTGTAGACCCTATGTCCAGCTTCACTTGCCATGTTGTAGACAATATGTTTTCTTTCAGTACCTCAAATATTGCTTCATATTTTCTTACTTGCAGTCTCTCCAATAACAACAAAATGGTAAAATATTTACTATTGTCCTCTGAATATAAAGCATCTTTACTTCTTCTGTGGCTGATTTTAAGATCTTTTTATCTTAAACATTTATTTTTAGAAATTTGGCTGTGCCATATCGTGTTATAATTTTTCCATGTATCTTGTGCTAGACTTTATTGAACTTCTCAGGTCTTTTAGCTACAATGTATTGCGGCGCACTCCTCGGCCAGCGAGGAAGAACGACCACCATGCGAGGATCCTTCTCAGAACACACTTTATTGGAGCGCCTCTTGATTAAGGGAGAGCGGGAGGTGAGGAGCCCCGAGGACTAAACTGCAGCTGCTTATATAGGGAATCAGGCAAACGTGCCGTACTGTGATTGGGTCCCGCCAGAATGCTAGCACGGGGAGCCACGGGATAGGCTGAGGACATAAGGCCAATTACCATACTCGTGCATCATAGCCAAATATGGGGTTGTTTACAGCTAGGCTCCCTGGAAGCCAGCGCCATCTTAGAATGGCGGCTCCCTAAAATGTATATGTATGTATGTATGTGTTTTAGTTAGAGTTTCTATTTCTGTGAAGAGACACCATGGCAACTCTTATAAAGAAAACATTTAATTGGAATGGCATACAGTTTCAGAGGTTCAGTCCATTATGATCATGAAGGACAGCATGGCGGCAGGTAGGCAGATGTGGTGCTGGAGCTGAGAGTGCTACATCTTGTTCAGGCAACAGGAAGTCAACTCTGACACTGAGCAAGGCTTAAGTAAAAGACCCCAGAGCCCGCCCCCACAGTGACACACTTCCTCTAACAAGGCCACACCTACTCTACCAAAGCCACACCTCCTAGTAGTGCCACTCTCTGAGGACCATTTTCTTTCAGACTACCACAGTGTGTATATATGTATGCATGCATGTGTGTGTGTATATATGTATGTATGCATGTGTGTGTGTATATATGTATGTATGCATGTGTGTGTGTGTGTGTGTGTGTATGCATGTGTGTATGTATGTATGAGGTTCTTGTGCTTATGTGGTTGGTGCTTTAGCAGCTGAGCCCCCTCTCTAGGCCTCAGTCAGGACTGTCCTGGATCTTGGCTACTACACTCTTCAAGGAAACACTACCCCAGAACCACCAGGGGTATTCCCAGGACCTAGGCCCTCCCACACAAATTATTAATCAAAAATGTACCACAGCCTCGCCTACAGGCCTATCCAGTCAGGCATTTTCTCAGTTGAGGCTGCCTCTTCCACAACGACTCTAGTGTGTATCAAGTTGACATAAAGCAGCCAGCACAATAGCTAACAACAGGCTCTTACTCAGTGCCCACTACGGTGTTAGGCACCACCTCCCAATATTTTATCTTCAAATAATTCCAGAAACCAACCCTATGATGGGGACCCACTACTATTCTTATTTTATAAATGAGTAAGTTGAGGCCCAGGCAGGCTATGGAACTTCCCAAGAGCACATGCAATGGTTAATTTGGATGGTCAGTTTGCTGAGTCCGGGTGGAAGGACCCTCTCCCAGTGTGGACAGCCAGGGTGTAAAGTGGTCCAATGCCTGTCTGCCCTTGCTTCCTAGTGCTCAGCGCACCCGTCTCTGCCTCTGCCGGTCTTGCTGACACCACGCTTCAGCTTCTTCAGCCTTTCAGCACAGACTGAAGGCTAGTGGTTCCTCAGGACTGAGACCACCAAAGCATCCAGTTTCAGCGACCGAGCAGCTACTGATTCTCAGTCTCTCCAATGTGCAGATAGCCATTGTTGAACTACTCAGCTCTTAGAATGCAAGGCAGTCTAATAAATACCCTTTGTGATACATGTTCATTCTACCATCACTGTTCCTCTAGAGAACCCTGACCAATACAGAGAATGGCTAGTGGCACAATGAGCATTTGGGCCACAGTAGTTGAGTCCAGAGCATTATGGTTAGGCAAGAATGATGGATTTTTTTATACCTAGAACATTCAGACTTTTTATAGCCATAAATCAACTCATAAATTTAAATTAAAAAGATGTATGTATAATCTTTAAAGAGTAAGAGAAAAGAAAACAAGAAAAATACATCATCAACAATTTTGAGAACTCAAATAATTATGAATTTTTGAGTTTAGTAACAATTTATATTTAATGGAAATTTGAACACCAACATGCTGTGTTTTGTTATTATGTTCATAATTTATTTTCAGAGAACAAAACAGGGAGGAGGTAAGTGAGAAAGTTTGCCTCAGACCTGATCTATTTGTTTGTATTAGAGAGTTTATTAGGAAGAGAATTAAGTTAGCAAGAAGCCAAATATCCACCAAATGTCAAAGTGTGCTCGTCTGCGCCTCGTCCCCCTCCCCCTGCCCCCGGCAACAACAACTCTTGGCCTGGAACTTGGAAGTAAAGTTTAGCTAAAAAGTAAGTCTATGCCCTTTAGCATCCTTCCCAAAAGCCCATAAACTAATTGAGTTATTGTAGATGCATGCATTCACTCATTCTGTCTAGATTTTGTTGATGTTGCCTTTTTGTTTTGTTTTAAAAACAAGGCCTTGTGATGTATCCCAGGCTGGCCTTCAATTCAAGATCTTTGTGCCCCAGCCCCTAGAGCTAGGATTTCTTAAGCATGTCCACCACATCTGACTATAAGGTAGAGTCTTAATTATTTTAAATGTTTTCACACTTTTGAAAATACTGATTTTTATTTGCTCTATTGAGTTCTTATTTATCTTGAGGAAATGATGGTCTTATATTTTTGTGTATTTTATACTTTACCAGGACCATTAGTCTGTTACCCTCCGCAATCTTATTACACTCAGAGGGAAGATATTTTTATTCCATTTCAGTTCAGAAACTCAAGCTCCTGTTATTTCCCTGAAGTATCTTGGCTAGCAGCTGGCAGAGTTGGATGCAGTATCTTTATATAGTGCATATATATACTTAGACCAGGGTCTACTCCAAAAAATACAGTGACTAAAGCACTGAAACAAACATACAAACCAATTACTTCCTAATGAAAAAGAATTGAAATGAAAAGAAAAAAAAGTGAAGTATCCAAGATAACAACAGCCAGTGGAGAAGTATCTTTGAATCCAATTCAGTTAGATGTTAGAATTGAGACAGTTTGCACTCTTTTGACTGCTTAGGAAAGGCTTTTTACATGATACATAATAATAATACTGTTTATTTATGGCTTCCTGAATGCAGACATGATACTGCATATATTAATGCAATGTTTCACTTCTTCCAACAGTCCTGTGAAGGAGAATCTGCACTGGCCCATTTTACAGGTGGTATAGCCGATGCACAGAGGGAGAGACCCTATGGGCCAGTTTTACAGAGTGATGCATCCTGCCCACCCACTGAGCTACTCAGAAGCAGAGCCAGGATCCTAACCCAATCCACCTAAAGTTTCAGCATGCTCTTCCCTAGTTCTGTTTCAGTCTGAGGTGTGGAATCTCCAGGGACATAGCTTTAAGTTAAGAGGGCACTGTCAAGGTTTCTTGAATTAACTGGCAATCAGCTAATGTTCTCCAAGGGAAAATGAGACTTGAACAGGGCCTTTGCTCAACAGAGGGAGAGTCTGAAATACCACATTATTGGACCTTGAGCAATAAATACAAAGACTGTGGCTCCCTGAGGGCATTTAGACAAGTCCAAAGTTTGTTTACTTCCCTGGATATGAAAAGAGAGCAAGGCTGGGTTACATAATAATTTATAACTGTTGATACCAAGAAAGAAACACAGCCTTCGGATTGTAGCTGCCTTGGTCCATTGCACAGCTGATCAGGTTGACAGTTGCTACTTGCTTATTTTGTAAGAAGTACTGTTGTCACTGTGGCTGGTTTCAGGTACCCAGGCTGGGTCACCCACTCTTGGGACACACGGCCCACACTGATCTTTGTGCCTTGTCTAAGCTGGTCATTTTCCGTAACTGTGTTATAAAGTGTAATTGAGAACACATTCTAATACATTCTCATGGGGATGCTGGGTCTGGGGCTACACCCCAGGCCTGTGACCTGTTGTAGACTTTCCACCCACATCCTACATAAAACTTGGCGGGAGTGCCTTTGGAGAGACAGCCCCCACATCAGAACATGACGGCTTTGGGCATGAGGCCTCACTCCTTTCCATCATGAGTTAAGGCTAAGGGTACAGTCAGTCACAGCCCATGTGAAAATGTAGTGATATCCTCTCCAAATCCCAAGGAAAGAAAACAAGCAAATGGTGCTTAGCAATCATCAGGTTCACAGTCTCTTGCCTTGACAGGCAAAGTGGGGGACATCCACACCACTGCCTCTGAGGGGACACTGCAGGACCTGTGCCTTGTGCACAGCCCAGTGAAAATCCCTGTTCCCCACCCCCCAGGGAGGAGCTGAAATTGCCTTGTAGAGAAAGCTGCCAGACTCTCCATCTGTCCCTTTCTTCCCTATCGTGACCTGTTTTTCCTGTTTCTATGGGAAATATTTGTTCTTACTTCCTTATCCCTTTATCAGAGTAAGTTTAGTTTGAAACCAAAGCAAGGCTGGGCATTTTATGTTCTTAGTGGCAAAACCATTATAACTATCATCAGTCTAACAAAGGGATTTGGAGTAGATTAAAAAATATATCCTGGAATTAGATAAGAGTGTGAATTCTGCAGACAAACAGATTGGTTCAAGTTCCAACCCGTACAGTCACCAGAACGTTTAAAAATCTCTCATTTTTGAGAATTTTATGAATGAATGAGCAACTCTGTGGTACTATTGTGAGGATTTATTCAGATGTCCTTTGTAAATCCTTTAGTCCAGCATCTGGCCCATAGTATACCCATTCACACAGGATACTCGTTACAGATGCTGTGAATGTGGCTCTTAGTGTACCACCAACCTGAAGACCTGAGTTCAGTTCCCGGTCCCACATGGTGGAAGGATGCTCACTTGCAGGAACGCACAGCTGCAAGTCAGCCTCTGACTGTAGACTCTTGCTGTGGCACATAAGCCTCTCCCAAAAAAGAGATGCCTAAAAATTATAAAAGGAGAAAACCGACTCCTGAAAGTTGTCCCCTGACTTTCACCCATAGACTCCTCAAAGAGCTTATGTGCATGTACACCTAAACACACAATCATGATAATAGTGATAACAGGTTTAACAACATGGCAATGCATATGAAAATTCTGTCCTTCTATACAGCGCTCTTTCCGAGTGTGTTTGAGCATTGTCACAAGTAGCTTTTAAAAAAGTTCTGATGTTATAAAGGCAAATTAAAGGGAAGTCCTCAGCAGCACTGATGAAGAAACAGAGGTGTTGCATGGTAAACTGACGTGAGAGGTGGAGCTGAGAGGGGAGGCCTCAGGTGGGGTGTGGAGCAACAGGGCAGTTAGGGGTCTGGAGGAATCCTGACAGCCAGCCAGGACTGCGCGGGACCCGGGGCCGCAAACATAAAACATAGCTTTTATTCCAGTGTTTCTGTGGCTCTGGCCTGCCTTTCAGTTCTGTGGGATCCCATGGAGTGGTGGTTGTTGTCAGCAGATGGTGTAGTGGTGGTTGTTGTCAGCAGATGGTGCAGTGGTGGTTGTTGTCAGCAGATGGTGCAGTGGTGGTTGTTGTCAGCAGATTGTGTAGTGGTTGTTGTCAGCAGATGGTGCAGTGGTTGTTGTTGTCAGCAGATGGTGCAGTGGTTGTTGTCAGCAGATGGTGCAGTGGTTGTTGTCAGCAGATGGTACAGTGGTTGTTGTCAGCAGATGATGCAGTGGTTGTTGTCAGCAGATGGTGCAGTGGTGGTTGTGTCAGGAGATGGTGCAGTGGTTGTTGTCAGCAGATGATGCAGTGGTGGTTGTTGTCAGCAGATGGTGCAGTGGTTGTTGTTGTCAGCAGATGGTGCAGTGGTTATTATTGTCAGCAGATGATGCAGTGGTTGTTGTCAGCAGATGGTGCAGGGGCTGTTGTTGTCAGGAGATGGTGTGGTGGTGGTTGTTGTCAGCAGATGGTGCAGTGGTTGTTGTTGTCAGCAGATGATGCAGTGGTTGTTGTCAGCAGATGGTGTAGTGGTTGTCATGAGCAGATGGTGTAGTAGTGGTGGTTGTTGTCAGCAGATGATGCAGTGGTTGTTGTTGTCAGCAATGGTGTAGTGGTTGTCATCAGCAGATGGTGTAGTAGTGGTTGTTGTTGTCAGCAGATGATGCAGTGGTTGTTGTTGTCAGCAGATGGTGCAGTGGTTGTTGTTGTCATCAGATGGTGCAGTGGTGGTTGTTGTCAGCAGATGGTGCAGTGGTGGTTGTTGTCAGGAGATTGTGCAGTGGTTGTTGTCAGCAGATGATGCAGTGGTGGTTGTTGTCATCAGATGGTGCAGTGGTTGTTGTTGTCAGCAGATGGTGCAGTGGTGGTTGTTGTCATCAGATGGTGCAGTGGTTGTTGTTGTCAGCAGATGGTGCAGTGGTGGTTGTTGTCAGGAGATGGTGCAGTGGTTGTTGTCAGCAGATGATGCAGTGGTGGTTGTTGTCAGCAGATGGTGCAGTGTTTGTTGTCAGCAGAAGGTGCAGTGGTGGTTGTTGTCAGCAGATGGTGCAGTGGTTGTTGTCAGCAGATGGTGCAGTGGTTGTTGTTGTCAGCAGATGGTGCAGTGATGGTTGTTGTCAGCAGATGGTGTAGTGGTTGTTGTCAGCAGATGATGCAGTGGTTGTTGATGTCAGCAGATGGTGCAGTGGTTGTTGTTGTCAGCAGATGAAGAAGTGGTTGTTGTCAGCAGATGGTGCAGGGTTTGTTGTTCTCAGCAGATGGTGTGGTGGTGGTTGTTGTCAGCAGATGATGCAGTGGTTCTTGTTGTCAGCAGATGATGCAGTGGTTGTTGTCAGCAGATGGTGTAGTGGTTGTAATCAGCAGATGGTGTAGTAGTGGTTGTTGTTGTCAGCAGATGATGCAGTGGTTGTTGTCAGCAGATGATGCAGTGGTGGTTGTCAGCAGATGATGCAGTGGTTGTAATCAGCAGATGGTGTAGTAGTGGTTGTTGTTGTCAGCAGATGGTACAGTGGTTGTTGTTGTCAGCAGATGGTGCAGTGGTGGTTGTTGTCAGCAGATGGTGCAGTGGTGGTTGTTGTCAGCAGATGGTGCAGTGGTGGTTGTTGTCCGCCGATGGTGCAGTGGTGGTTGTTGTCAGCAGATGGTGCAGTGGTTGTTGTCAGCAGATGGTGCAGTGGTGGTTGTTGTCAGCAGATGGTGTAGTGGT